TCTCACTGCTGTGGATAAGACTGTCTGTCTCTTACTGCTGTGGATAAGACTGTCTGTCTCTCACACTGCTGTGGATAAGACTGTCTCTCACACTGCTGTGGATAAGACTGTCTGTCTCTCTCATTGCTGTGGATAAGACTGTCTGTCTCTCACACTGCGGTGGATAAGACTGTCTGTCTCTCACACTGAGGTGGATAAGAGTGTCTGTCTCTCACTGCTGTGGATAAGACTCACACTACATGTGAGTGTTGATCTAATTAAACCTTTTGCTTTTCAATGAACTCCAGTGACAAGTCATTCCCTGCCTTCGGATTTGGAGCCCGGATACCCCCCAACTACGAGGTGACACTGATATACTGGTATTATTGAATACAGTAATACCAGTCATGACAATAGGGTTACAATTATACAGTATAGTAATAACAGCACTGACACAGGGGTTACAGGCATACAGGAATACCAGTACTGACACAGGGGTTACAGGAATACCAGTACTGACACAGGGGTTACAGGAATACAGGAATACATTAATTCAAGTAATGACAATGGGGTTACACTGATACAGAAATGCCAAAGCTGACATACTGTACAGAAAACAGTCATATACAATATTAATAATTTAATGCTGTTATTGCTGATAGATGTACAATCATGAATGTTACTGCTAATAGATTCACTTTCATTACTGTCACTGCTAATACTCTCAGTATCACTGCTGTTACTGTTACCGATAACAATAACTGCTCTTACTGACACTACTGTGACTGATAACAGTATCACTACTTTTACTGCTAATACTCTCAATACCACTGCTCTTACTGCTACTGATAATACTGTCGATATCACTTCTGTTACTGATAAACTCTCAATATGACTAATTTTAAAGTTACTGCTAATACTCCCAATATCACTACTGATAGTGATAATATTCTTAGTATCACTATTGTTACTGCTTATACTCCCAATATCACTACTGTTACTGATAATATTCTTAGTATCACTATTGTTACTACTAATACTCCCAATATCATTACTGTTACTGATAATATTCTTAGTATCACTACTGTTACTGCTGATATTCTTAGTACCACTACTGATACTGCTGAAACCCAGTGTGACTACTGTTACAAATACTACTAATACTCTCAATATCGCTGCTGTTACTGCTGCTGCTGTTTCTGTTTCTGCTGACACAGAGAACTGTTCTTCTCCCACTAATGAAAGTGATTCTCACCGTGAACTCATTGCAGGTGTCACATGACTTCCCCCTGAACTTCAACCCAGACAACCCTGAGTGCGAAGGTACAGCAGTATTAAACAGTGTGTAACACACCTCTGTACACTAATAACAGCCCTCCGAAGGCCAGACACGTATATGGACTATGTCTGACGGCATTAAAAATGAGCCCCTTCATTGTTTATAGATTCATGTCCTGCATGAGTGCGGTGTTTTAAAGGTGTTACCTATTTTATTAACCCCTCTCTCTCAGTGCAGTGTTAATGTACTGGAGTGTCCAGTCAGTCAGTGTGTCTGTATGAACC